TATTCTTCTATAGCTTTACACTAATTTTTGACACTGAAAGTTCAAAACTTTTGACTTGACTTCTTCAGCACCTGTAGTTGGAGCACTGACTTCAACAATGGTTTATCTATCTATTTATTAAATTGCTATGGTTACATCAATAGATTTTTCATGAAGTCTGACTGATTAATATCAGCCTATAATTGCTTGTGCTACATCATGCATCACTGTTGGAGTCACCCCATTTCTTCTGATTCTTTCTAAAGTAAAATGCTTTGTAATTAGTTAACAGAAAATGTTCTATTTTAGTCCATCTTGGTTCTCTCACATCAAGTTTTACAATGTTTGCACATTCTACTTCCAGCACTATAATTTTATAATTTTGAATTTTTCTTGGCTTATACTATTGTTCCATGTTCCAGCTACAGTATTTCGTGGAGCTTCAGATTTTTATTTTTTCCCTGAAAATAAGACAGGGTCTTATACTAATTTTTGCTCCAAAAATGCAGTAGGGCTTATTTTCAGGGGATGTTTTATTTTTTCCATGTACAACAATATACATTTATTCAAATACATTCATGTCATCTTCTTCTGGTTGCTGCACAACGGTGGAGGCCTGGGTTTCACTTAACTGGGGCTTATCTGGAGGGTAGGGCTTATATTATGAGCATCCTGAAAAATCATACTAGGTCTTATTTTCAGGTTAGGTCTTATTTTCGGGGAAACAGGGTATTTCTGCATATCAGTAGCTGAACATTGTCTCAGCTTTAGTTGAGTTGGTTCATTAAGAACAGGACTACTTGTATTATCCTTAGGCAAGCCTTGGTAGCTGATTCAGTGCCTTCCACTCTGGCATTTTCATCTTCCAGCACTACCTGTTTCGTTCTGCATTTCCTTGTAAACAGAGATTTCAAGGTAAAAAGCATTCAAAAGTGGTTTACTATGACCATCTTCTGCACACTACTACTACAAGTTAGCTTCAGTATCACTGCAGTTATCTCTGAAAAACCCTTTACCAGTGTCACTTTCTATTACTCTGACCAGTAACTGTCCTTCTTAGAATTTCTCAGTTCTCATCACTGTTAGATTAATAATCATCATCCAGTGTGACCAGTGGAAGGTAGATACATATTTCAATATAGCTATACTAGCAGCAGGGAGCAAGCTAGTGCAGGTCGCTTGGGAATGATCAGTCTTGATTAGAACAATCTAATCAAACTGACAGTTCATGTGGAAATGACTCCTGCCAATATCATGAAATGACTTAATAAGAAAGCCACTTCAGGATAATGGCAAATTAATCACTTCCCCTGCCTTGAAGAGTGCATGGGAAGTTTTTTTTTTTAACTTTATACTGTATAGACTATTGCTGATGTGCTGCATCAAGTACAAATATTTTTTAAAAAATCTATTCATTGGCTTCTCTTAAAAGGTTGGTTGAGAAACTGCCTGCAGCTAGAGCTACCACCATAGATTTGGCAGTGGGCAGTTTCTTAACTGGATCTTTAAGATAGGGCAAAGAAAACTAAAATGTAGCTTATCAGTGATAGTCTACATACAGTAAAGAAACACTTCCTCCCACTTCCCCAGTCGTCTGCTGAGTGGGGGAAGTGATTAATCTTCCACTTTCCAGAGGTGGCTTGCTTATTAAGCTGCTTCACAATGTTGGCAAATGGAAAGAGGAAAGCTTACTCGTATTGTCCCAGCAATCACATATGCTAGAAATGATTTAAACCAGTGTGATTCTACCTGCATCCGAAAAGCAGAGGCCTCTTGGCAGGGGCCAGAAAGGTGCGGGAAAGAATACTCTGGGGGATGGGCTGATGAGCTCTAGGCAAAGACGTTGTCTGATTATCAAGGACAATGATTTTCGAAATGTAATTCAAATACAGCAGGTTTTGCCTAGACATACAGACTGTTTGCTGTTTTTATACTTCCTTTGAAATACTTTGCTTTAAACAGTTATTTAAAATAATCTGTCATGTTCTTCTAATTAATATTTAATTGCTTGTGATCTTAAATAGAAACTACTTGTGAACCTCTGACATTCTTAGAACACCTGCATGGAAGTGACTTTTCAGTAGGATGACTTCAGAATTACAACATGGATTATGTAAATTTTGAAAGATGTTAAACAGCACCAGTGGATCATTCATGATGATAGCTTTGAAGTTAGCCACATGCTAGCTCATGTAAGGTGAGTAATTTTTCCACGTAACTAGCTTGTCAGGCCTTCACATTGATCTGTCTTATGACATAAAGGGAAGCATGTGTGTATGCTTTTATATGCTTTGATATTTATCTACAAGACTAGATTGCTTCATTAATGGTTAGGATGATGTAAGACAATTGCTTAAGATTTTAGTGTGCAGTTTTTATATGTAGAGCTTGAGAATGCCACCAAGAATAAATCAGAAACCTCTACAGGAATTAAGACATCTTCCTGAAAATGTGGAGCAATTCACAAATATCTGTGCAGAGAAGGTGCATCTCTGAGCCTGGATGCCCAGGTTTCAGCAGTGGCAAGGAGCACATTTTAAAACTAGTGCATCAGCTACCTCTGTTTCTTGAGAGATCTGATCTGGCCACTGTGATACACACCCTAGTGACTTCCTGGCTGCATTACTGTAACGCGTTCCATATGGGGCTACCGATGGAAAGTGTCAGGAAACTTCAGTGGGTTCAAAATACAGCAGCCAGGTTGCTGACCGGGGCTGGTAACAGGGATTTCTTTAAAAAAAACTCTGCTGTTATAGCAGCTCCATTGGATGCCGGTTAGCTTCTGGGCACAATTCAAAGTGCTGGTTTTAACCTATAAAGCCCTAAAGGGCCTGGATCCAAGCTGTCTCAAAGACCATCTCCCATTATGAGCCAGCTCGGGTGTTAAGATCTTCAGAAGAGGCCTTTCTCTCGGTCCCGCCACCTTCATGGGTGTGTCTAATGGGGACACGGGAGAGGGCCTTCTATGTTGCTGTTTCCAGACTTTGGAATTACCTCCCACAGGATCCCAGACTGGCCCCAAGTTTGTTGTCCTTCCACAAGTAGGCAGACTTTTCTCTTCAGGCAAGCTTTTCTTCAGTGCCTGCCTACATGAGTGACTGGCTACATGGCTGACCACAAGTAACTTTTAGATGGATTGTTATGCATTGCTGCTCTGTGTCTTTTTACTACTTGTGTTTACCATTCCTCAGAGCGGTATTTGGTTATTCTTTTTTAATATTTGTATACTTATTGTTTTAGAGTTAATATTGTCTTTTCTCGCTGGAAGGACAGCTCCTGAAGCTGAGGCTTGAATACTTTGGCCATCTCAGACTCCCTGGAAAAGACTCTGATGTTGGGAAAGTGTGAAGGCAAGAGAAGGGGACGACAGAGGACGAGATGGTTGAATAGTGTCACCAAAGCTACCAACATGAATTTGACCCAGCTCCGGGAGGCAGTGGAAGACTGGAGGGCCTGGTGTGCTCTGGTCCATGGGGTCATGAAGAGTCGGACATGACTTAACGACTAAACAACAACAAAATTAACTTTTAATGATGTAAGCTGCCCTTTTTTACTCATTGGTCTTGGTTCTAAATGTTGTCTTTTAATGATGTAAACCACTGTTGTATAATTGTTTTCAGCTTTAAATATTGTTTTTCAATTATATATGCCACCTTGGGTCCTTTTTAGAGAGAAAGGCAGAGTAAAAATATTCTAAATAAATAAAATAGATAAAAGAATGTATTTTACATAACTTTTAAAATGTGGCGGATTTAATTGTTTTTAAATTAAAAACAGAGAGGACCATATTATCAAATATTGTTTATATATATATTTATATATACTGTATATATTGTATATTGCTTTTGCTTTCTGAAAAAATATTTTACAGCTTAATTTTCCTGTAAGGAAATGTGAGGGGTTAAACATGGAGCCTTCTACATGCCAGTGTTTCCTGGAGTACCACTGTCATAGAATACCCTTCCTTTCCCAGGTCAAATTAGTGAACGGTAGGATGCCAGAGTGTTAGACGTCGATTGGGGTGTAAAGTGAGGGCTAGAGTAAGTCTTTTGGAAGCGTTCACCCAAAGAACACCGGAGGCCCCTACAAATTCCTGGTGACAGGCTGAGACCCGTCTGAAGCTCCAGATACAAGAGTTTTCACAGCACTCCTTGTAGCTGTGAAAGCTAGTTGGCATCTAACCCATTTAGATGTTTCTTAGGACTGGATGGGACAGGGCCCTTGATTCTTCTATAAAGGTGTAATACCTGCACGCCTGGGGCACGTTTCTGTCTACTACATTGCCATCAGGATGCATATTTCTTTTATCCTGGTCAAGCGTGCCTAAGCGTCAGGGAAGGAGAAACACAGTACTGTACTCAGCTCTTTCCCAGGGTCCCTGAAATAAGATCACCCAGAAAGGGAGGTGCCCAAATATTTGAACAGGGAGGTTTGCCTCAGCTTAGTAAAAAGTTTGGAACAATTTAGAGAAGTCCTGTGTACGCTCGATTTGGGAGCAAGTCCCACTGGACTGGGAGGGAGCTGCTTCTTGTCACAACAGGCATCAGATTTGGAGCGGCGAGGTCCGAAACATGAACGGGCATCCATCAAGCGCCAGGGAACGATGCGTCTGCCACCTCCCCAGGGGTCTCGTTGGCACCGGAGAGTCCGGGGGAGAGAGAGAGAGAAGGGGGGGGAGTGGGGGGGATGATGGCCGGGGCCACGCTTTCCTTCAGGGGCCGGCCGGGAAAAGGGGTATGGAAGGGCTCCCCATTCTTGCGACGAGAGAGAAGAGAGCCTCTCCTCCCCCCCAGGAGCCTTTCCCCCTTACTCTTTCTCCTCAAAGGCCAGAGAGAAAAAGGAGGAGGAAGGGAGTGAAGAGAACAGATTTTTGAAGCACCTGATGGTGCGGAGGCGGCACAGAGCGCGGCGGGTCCTTTGTGTCCACCACGCACGGCTAGCC